TCTCTCTCTCTCTCTCTCTCTCTCTCTCTCTCTCTCTCCCTTGTGTTTATGACCACTGGTGGTCAAGATCTACCTCTCCCTCCCGTGGCTGATGGCGGTTGTTTACACAAGTTTGGGGCTGTCAGGCTCCTGGGGTGTCCAGTTGTATAAATAAACATCCGGAAATAGTGACCAGGGGTCACCTTTTGGCGCCTGGGGGGTGGGGGAGAGAAATTGAACATGGGCCACCTGGTTCCGATTTGTTTTTCATCCTTAAGTTGTTTAGCTTTTACTTTGTTTTATGGCACTTGCAACATAAATAGGTCGTACAGGTGCCGAAGATTGTAGGTGTAGAAGAGAGTAAGAGACAAATGTGAAAAGGAGGGGAGGTCAGGATGATAGGATGATAGATGGCTAATAGGAAAGACGGAGCAAACCACACCAGAGCAACCTCCAGCCACCCACTCCCTTAGTTAAAAGTTGGGTCTTTGGTTACAGTGCATATCTCGACAATAACAGCTACAACAAAAATAATAAAAAGACTATTTTATCATACAATGTATTTTGCGACTAGAAAGTAGGTTGCCCTCGAACATTCTCAAACGTTTTTAGCTTCGTGGAAAAGTTGTAGAAGTGAAGTGCAGTGTGCACAGAAGTGAGTTCGATTCATGAGTGCAGAAGTTGGTTTGATAAGTACGTCCTGCGTCTCTGCTGGACTGCTGTATCCCAGTCGTCTTGGATTAGCTCTTATGATTAGCGAGTTCAAAGCAGCCTGCCTCCCAAATTGTCTGTATTGTGTCGAGGGGGTTGTAGAAGACTCGCAATCAATTAAATAGGTGGGTGGTTGGTGTTCTGGTGTGGTTTGCTCCTTCTTTCCTATCAAACATCTATCGACCCCCCGGGACTGAAGTGTCTTTAAGCCATTTCCAAAGGGGGACATTTTTCGTTCATGCAGTGTAGAATTGTAAATGGGCTGATTCATCAATGTCACGCTCATAACTTTGCCTGATCTACAACAGGGAACTGCTGCTTTTTCTTTCCCAATCCTTACTGTTGTCATTTTCCTCTACTTCTTTTGTATGTTTTTCACACTCTTGTGACCCACTATTTCCGGGGTGCCTCGACAGTCGAAGCAGACTTTGTGCTGTTGAAGCTAGAGAGGTGAGCAGAGTAAGTCTGATTCCCTGTACGGTCTTCTCTGTTGGCGTCCACCCGTTGGTGGTCATATGACCCTATGCAGTTGTGAGCGCCGTAAAACCTCTACTAAAACTAAGCTAAAAACATCTATCGTCTTTTTTTAGTGGGTTTGTTCTTCTCTTGTAAAACCTCTAATCTTCGGCACCTATGTGACCTTATTGTGTTGCAAGTGCCGCAAAACTCTTACTAACACTAAACAGTTGAGCCAGGGGTGGCCAGTAGTATAAATAAACAACCGGAATATTGACCAGTGATCAGCCGCTGGTTCCTGCCTGAGGGGAGAAGGGAACCTAGACCCCCTGGTTCTGTTTGTTATCCCCC